TCCTGGAAGTAATGCTGCATCAACAGAGCTTCGGTGAAATCTTCTCCCTGCGCTTCGTTTACCAGTTAGCACAAACATGGTTATCTGCTCTGCTTACCCATTCTTCTTTCCAGGACTGGAACCCAATTGCTATCATTTGTTTTCTTTTTTAGTGTGTAGTTCCCAAAGCAGATAATTGCTTTTCTGGAGGTAGAGGTAAATGCTTCAGTTTTGATTAAAATAGGGTGGAAATTTGTCTTCAAAAGCTGGAAGGTGCTGCAAGAGACTTTATTAACTGTATACGGTCCTTCCTCTTGTGTATGTGGATTTTTGAGGCATATGTGTTATTGGGGACTTATGTGTATGAGAGACTTGAGTATTAGTAGTACTTCCAGAAAGCTGTTAGGCTGTTCTTGTAATGCCTTTCACACACGATGATCCTGTTCTTTTATCCACTTTCTGGAAAGATACGTGATGCTTCATGCAATTTAAAAATGTTTTAATTTACTGTCATGGTCAAGACCCAGTCAGAAAATGTTTGACACTGCAAAGCTTTGTAGGAAATTTGGAAGCAGGAATAAAAAAGTCTGTCACTTGAGAAGTAAAAGTGCAGAGCTAGAACATTGTAAAGTAAAAACGTGCCAATACTAAGAGAGCTTATTCCAAGACCTCTTGTCTTATTTCCTACTATTGTCTTCAGTTGTTTAAACAGATTAAAAAATCTTCAATTATTTGTCTGCAACTGCTCCCCTTCCATCCCCCCCATTTGATAATGAGGAAATGAGACCGAATCTGGAGTGTTATTGTCACTGCTTGGTTTTGTGTTGAGTAGCTTTTTTTTCCTTCCTTATTTGACACAATACAGAAAATCAAGAAATCAATGATACTCATGTAAAGTAAACTTGTTGATCTTGGTCCAATTGTTAGTAGAGTTACATCCTAAAATACATGAGGATAGTACACTTATATTCTCCCACTTCTCATGCAGGTCAAAGACTGAATTAGATGGGGAGATACAACTTTGGTTTAGACATGGTGACCACTGGTTCTAGATGTTGGTGAATTAAGTGTTGCATTTAAGATTGCTACTTAAAAAAAATGATTAAAGGAAAATTCATTACCTATTAATATTGCTGTCAGTTAATGAGGCATTACATGTTTTAACTAAGCTGAAATGTTATGTAGTTCAGCCTTTTTACTGCAGTGTGGTTAACATTCACATGATGCTGTATGTTAGAAACAGCTTCTCTTAGCATGAGGTATTTCCATCCTAACCCATATAGCCTCAGTGAGGTGGGAGATTGTAACTCATTCAAGTAACTTTGAGAAGATCATTCCTTTTCAAAGGAATGAAGATACGGCTTTTGGTAAGCTACATCTCATTCAAATGCTTATTGTAGTTACAAGGAAGGGTTTCATGGTAACTGTTGGATTCCATGAGGTTACTTAGTGCACAGATTGTGTAGCCTTGAATGGAGTGATGGAGTAAGGGGTGGCTAAACAGATTTAAACATTTCTTATGCGTTTATGGTTTTCTTCAGTAGTCTAAAATAACTCCTATCTAACATGTTGCAGCTAATGTCCAAACTAACTTCAGGATTAGTAAAATGTAGCTCAAAACGTGGTCACTTCCTCAGGAGAGTGCAAGTATCTGGAATGGGGGTGAAAGTCACTGGTTTTAAGCAGTTGTATCGGACACTGTCATGTTTTTTGCTCAACATTTTCATTTTGAAAATATAATTGCAATATTGGTTCTGTAGTTAGACTTTTTAAAAGAGAGAATCTCAAAAAACACATAGAATTTTACAGAATTACAATTCTGTGCAGTCTGTGTACCTTTTTTGACATAATAAAGTGCCTTTGTGTTGTTGGCTGCTATTTGAAGACCCTCTGTGAAGCCCCTTCCCGGGGATTCCCCTTCCAGTCTACCTATAACATGTGCTTGCCCATAGCCCAAGAATAGCTGAGCTGACAGCTTGGAGCAGGACACGCTGTCCCGTAGGTGTCAGCGGGCTCGGAGCTGGTGTCATGTGAGCTGTGCCGTATCTCTTTTCAAAGCTGATATTTTGTTCTTCTTCCTTTGCTTCCAGCTGTAGTGCTTTAAACAAACAGCGACCAAACCCAAATACTCTGCCTAATACATTCCCGTACACACTCGTGGCAGCTCGGCTGTTCTGAGCTGTTAATTGCCTTCCCATTGTCTAATCCCTCTCGGTAAGTAATTGTACCTTGAGTTTCCTTAGGGCAGCTGGAAAGTTACGGTTCTCTTAGGAATGTCCCAGATTTGTGTATGATCAGATGACTTGGGTTCTCATAGTCAGAAATAACTCCCTTTTCTCTTTTTGAGCTTTAGTCCTTTCCAAAGGCAGGATGCAGTAGATATAATGTTTGATCAGTGTTAGACTACATATTTCACATGACACTGCCTGGACATGCCTTTTATCTCGAGGCTGTAAATGTGAAATTTCTGAATTCCTTTGGAGATAAGTGGCGAGAAGCGAGGCTGTCGGTAGCCTGCAGTCCCTAGCAGTGTTTTCTCTATACTTGTGGACTTGGAAGAGAGAGAACGTGTGTTACGTTCTCCCTTCAAGTAAACAGCCTTTCTTCAAATCATGAATAATAAAATAATTAAGATAGTTCTGGCAGTGTAATATAAGGTAGAAATTTCATAGGACAGTTTCACGTTGATACTAAGAGACGTATTTTTATTTTTTAAGTATTCAGCTGGTTACTAATAAACCTATAGATGCCCAATACTGAAGGAATCTTAAAATCAAACTTCTTCGTACTAATAGTGATTATCCTTTTCCCACTGGAGTTTCATAGTACAACTTTGAAAAACTGTTTTTATTGAGAGCAACCCATGTGTTAGCCTGTTTATATGCAGCAGGTACTCCAGCTCTCACAACTCTTCTCTAGTGAGTGTTTGTTAGAGTGAAAGTTCATTTGCTAAGAAACAAGAAGAGCCTTTTCTCTGCTTTCTCCCCAGTATTGCGTGTGCACATGTTATGGTAGCTGGTGTTCGGAAAGATCTGCCAGAGCTAAAGGTTTGTTTCACTGACAACTGTTAAAAGAACCAAGCACAACTTGCTACAGAAATTCTTCTGCATCATATTTTCTCCCCCACTCCCCCAAATATTTAAAATACCTTTGTATTTTAAATTAAGAGTTAGTCATTGCCCAAGTGCCAGGCATGCACTATTAATACACTAATGAGGTCAGGTTGTGCTCTTTCACTGAGTGAATACTTGCCAAAACTCTTGAAACAGGTTTCTGAAAATGCTCATGTTGGCCACTAAATCTTCTCTTGTCACCATTACACTTGTAGTTACTGCTAAGGACAGCAAAAATGTGACTCTAAATGACATATTACCTAGAGCATGTGTGGATAATGAATAACTAGCTATGAAAAACATACTAAATAAGCCCCAAAAAACTGCATACAGTCCTTTGTGGGGACAGGATGTTAGTGTATTTATTGTGCATGTTCTGTGTATGCTGTGAATGTGTTTTGAGGACTGGCTTTGCTCTCGGGGCCAGAGCCTGACCCCAGAACTGGCATGAAGCAAGGAGCACTGTGATCCACTCTGAGTGTCCCCTGAATAGCTGATAAAATTACCGGGATTCGTCCCACAGTCAGGCTCAGACATGGCGGCGCTAATAGTTTCAAGTATGTTTTTTGTTTCCTAGAAGGTCTAGAAATTATGTATATGCCCGGTCTCTGTGCTTCTGCAAACAGAAGATGTATCTGACAGGCTTTCAGCCAAAAGCCTGTAACTGCCCTGTTACTGTTTACTACAGCGTTCCTGAAATCTGTGCACAGCTCTGTGTCAGAGGAGTATTAGTTAATCTGGGATCACATTGTTGTTCCAGCACTTAGGAATGTTTCAGCTGCCTGATGGGCAGCTCTTTTCAACTTTATGGTACAGTCTTTGAAGGCGAGCAGACTATCATTTCAGATTACTGTGTTGTGCTGGCCTGGAAACCGCAGCATCTGAGTGCACCTTCCCTCCGTGGGGAGGGACCTTGTGAGAGGGAAAGCATGGAAACCGCTTAGAGTGATCTCAGCATCATGGCTGGGGTTCGTGGGCAGGAGTGGCTTGTCCTGATGCTGAGGCAGTGGCATTGTACACACGCACTTGGAGGAACGCAGTATTTCTGCACAGTGGTGATGAGCAGTCGTACCCATACTGCTGTGTGTTGGACTTGGGTGGTGTTTTCAAATGTCCAGCATCCTATTTAAATAATGACAAGTCTGCTGCATCCAGTTCGGGAAATAAGTTCCTTTGCCTCTCAGACGTTGTGTGGGAATTTCACTCTTCGATTCCCCCCCCCCCCCCCCCCCTTTTTTTTTTTTTTTTTTT